CAACCCTTTCCCGAGTAATTTATAATTAGAACGGTTCCCAGGGGAGACTTCGCGCGCCGACGGTGGGAAGAGCCAATCACAACGACTAAATGACACTGCTATTGTACTTCATGAAACAGCAGGAAAGCCGGTGCTGACAGGCCAAACAAAATCATAAGCTAGTGAAACGTGACTTTAGCGTTTTCATCCCTCAGAGATTTTCTTTCTTTCTTTTTAGCGGGTAGATTATACTGTGGAGAGTTTTAAACTCTGACTATGTTAATCTTAATTTTGGTTGCTTGTCTCACATTAAGCTGGTCTGTTACATGCGTAAGGATTAACTACTACCTGCAGTCTGTAGTTCTGACAGGATTCGTTTTCTTTAGCCAATTTTTTTGAGCGTTAAGGTTCTTATTTCGGCTAAATGACTCAAGATTAATGAAATTTCTAGTTTTTCAAGTTTTTATCCGAAATGCGTTTGTCTGAATAAATACTGTGGTTGTTTTGTCCGTCGGTTAGTGTGATGATTCCCCGCTATGTTTTGTAACGCCGAGCCCAGCCATTGTTTTCTCGCAAAAAAGTGATCTACAGATGCGAATTCGAAGAAAAGAATTGGCCTAAACTTCTACATTAATTGCTGAGAATTCTCCTGTTGGTCAGTCATAATTCTTTGGGCGCAGATACAATCCATTTTGTTTTTCTTGAGATAAGACTAAGAGGGTCTTTGGACTGGAGCGCGATGTCACAAATTCCACCGTTAGTAAATTACTTTTGAGTTAGCTTCACGGTGGAGCAACTGTTGTCTTCTGTTCAACTTTTCAAGTGCCAGTTTTATCAGGCAACTCTCATGGTGATACAAGTCAGTTGTAAAAGAACACTGCAATTTTTCTGAAGCATTCTTCCTTAGTTGCTACTTAGGTCATCGCTTTTGCACACGGTTCTTAACTGGCGAAATCCACTCCACGGCGATGACAAAAATAAATGATCCTGGCACTTTTTCGGCGCTGATCATCGAAAAGTTTCAAGTCATCCACAGAACGCTTAATCGTCGACACTTTTCAAGGTGCATGCTTAAATGTGGGACGTATGACGGCAAAAAAAAAAAACAAAAACAAACACTCGCAAAGAACCTTTCCGTGATCCTCAGTTCGCTGCCTTTGTCCCATCGCTTCATGCTCAGTCTCAGTCGGGTAATTCATTAACTTTTATTTCATCCCAGATCCCAGCGGCTGTAAAACTGTAAAAATGGACGTATAGTAAAAAAGGAAAACGGTCGAAGGACGGGCTTCTGAGTTCGACTTCATCCAACTTCATTTTTTTCACGGTGACATACGAGACTCACGGAAATATGACACTTTTCGCAGGAAACAAGCCGTTTTATTTATAAATCTACTCGGGAAAGGATTGACTCAAGAAATTAATGGAGATGGAGGCTCCATTTGATGGGCTCCTGTGAGGAGTGGTTCTCCGTAGAAGAAAGTGGCGCTGATGAGGAAAAGTCTGAGCCAGTGAAGAATTCTTTAATCAATCACTGGGTTTCAAGACAATATTCCTAAAGAACTTCTGAAATATCTAAAGCAGCAAAATCGTTCGCCTGTCCCGCCTCTAATCTTCCAACTATTCTAGAGATACAAGGCAACATTGATGACTTGTTTTCTCAACAAGATCTGATGGATGATGAAAAGGCTAAGCGATACTTTCAGTTGCAAAACAGATACCTGGCTCTAAAAAAAAAACAATTGAATTCAAGAACACGAACACGACCCGAAGCAGCGCGGTTCCAGAATTACCAAGCACACAAGATTCTTCGACCACTCCCCTTGACCTTCAACGTAACACCTGATTTAAAAAAGGCAGCCATCTTACAAAAACCTTAAGCAGAACTATCTACCCCACTACCACTGTTAAATCCTAAGTTCCTGACCCCTCCTCCAGTACAAACTCTATCACAAGTCCCGAAATCAAAACGGCGGAAGATTCTTTTTATAAATTGCCTGGATGATGATGAAGCAAAACAGAAGAGACAAACTCTGCGCCAAAGACTTCAGAGTAAAACCTTACAAGTATTCCAAGGGCTAAGAAGATGATTGTTTTTTTTTTAAAGGTTGTAATGTAGTAAAGAATAAAATAAAGAGTTTCATGTCGAATTTGTGTGAGCTGAGTTTCATAGAATTAGCTTGGTTGTACTCTCATAGCTGTGCACAATTTGCTCGAACGTGGACTATTTTGGTGCGAAATTTCAGCGTTAAGTTACAATTTTATTTCACATGCGAAATTACAAAATTGCCATGGCAACCCACTGCTCTAAGCCAATCAAATTGCAGAAATTTCTCATGCAGTAGTATAAGCGCGAAATTCAATCACGATATTTGCATTTTTATACTACTACAAGAGAAATTTCTGCAATTTGATTGGCTTAGAGCAGTGGTATTTCAGCTTAATTTCAAATACCTACATGTGAAAATTAGAAACCTTTTGCGGATAGTAGTATAAACAAATAATAGCATCATTTGTATGTGATATTTGGCATAAATACCGCTCGTGATATTTCAAAATTGTCTCAAATTTCACTCGCCTAATGGCTAGTCTGCTACACAGCCGTTTTTAGTGTCGTCACGCAACAAAAAAAAAACGGCTGTGTAGCAGACTACCTAATGGCTCGTGAAATTACGTTTATCAATTTTGAAATATCACTCGTGGTATTTATGCCAAATATCACTACAAATCATGCTATTACCTACACTAATCAACATTCAATAACACTTTTGGGCATTCATATGCGTCATTCAGCATACAAAAGAGAAACATTTACTTTCATTAACGCCAACATCAAAGTCATTAACACCATCTTGAAAGTCAATAGGGACAACATACAAACAAACACTATTCTTTAACATTTATTGACACTGTTTGCAATTCAACTGCATTCCTGGACAACCTTAGGATGGATAAGCCAAACATTAATGCGCTTGTACTCTGATTTATGCGGAAATGTTCGTACGTATGCGCTAATAAATGTATCTTCGCACCACTGGTCGACGTTTCATGCAAATGATTGCGTATTTTCTCGTAATGAACAGCAAAAGGTGTAAGCGCCTAGCCTCGAACAAGCGCCCACTCTAAAGGTCCAAAAATTTAATAAGCGCCCAGGGCGGTTAATCGAATAAATAAGATACCTACACAAACAGTGCCTTGCAAAAAATGTAAACACGTGTTTTGATGAAATTACTTTCGTTATCATCAAAAACGTTACTTTTCTCCCTTTTTCCAGTTTATTTGGTTTTCTCTTTTCTTTTTCATTCGCTTTAAGGGAAATTTAAACTTATCTTCCAAAAGATACATTTTCAGTTTTACAGAGCACTTAAAAAACAAATATTTACTTAAATTTATATCTTGTGCTGATTTCTGGCGCTTTACTTTAGACGCTGCCTCTGATTCATTAACAGTAAAGACGAACAAGTGATTTTATTTATTTATTTATTTTTCGCTAAAACATGACTAGCTTAAACGCAGAATCATGTGAAAAAACAAAAAAAAGAAAAACAGATGAGAAGAAAATCAATACAAAAACAACGGATTTTTTACCATTTTGGAATAAAGTAATGGACAGTTACTCCGTTACAAGAGTTATTCGGATCGGACAAATTAAAACATCGCCAAAAACAAGACAAGGAAGAAAAACAATAAAGAGCATTTTATTAACATAAAAATAATGTGTTCAAATAAGATTAAATAATTCAGCCTGAATCATAATCAGTACTAGCTTTTATTTTCATCAATGACACATGGAAATCACACTGCTTTCAAAGGACGACGTACGAACAGGCCACCTGATAAGAAAACCCACTAAACTGCCTGGAGCAAGCTCTCTGTTTGGAGCCCAGGGGTAGGGGGAGAAAAAATGGGACGCCCCCCACCCCCCGAAAGCTTGCTCACAGGCTAAACTTTCAGTTATTACTTTCATTGGCCCCTTCTTTTGTTTTTTCCCATCCCCACCCCTCCTCTATACAAACTGACACACAAACATTTCTAAGCGCATTTCAGATAGGATATTTTGCCCATTCATAATAAAATGAAGAAAGACGGTAGATTTATTGTGTATAACAGTAGTGTGGGGCGTACCGGTATCGCACTAACGTATTTCGCTAAGATCATGTAACTTTCTATTTGTGTGTTATTCGATGTTATCTCTAGTATAACCGATTTGAGAGGTATTTACTAGGCGCTTTTAAAACTCTGAATGATGGCATGCTTTTTCATTGGTTGACTAAAACTTAGCTGGAATTGCTATCATTTGTTGATTCCATTGATTACTTCTGGATACAAAGTAACGTGTATAACTATCATCGTCATCATAATAATTAATGTTCGTCTTTTTAAAAAGTCGGAGTCTCAGAATGACCCAATTTTTAACCTGAAATTCGCTAACATTAACTTTCCTCGCGTTCGCAAACAAAGCCGCACAGAGAAATTTGGACACCTCCAATCAACAGAACAACTCCTTTTCTTTCTGTAGAAAATACGTTCAGTGCAGTAACGAGACTCGTCAAACTTAAATAATTCAAAAATGAAGAATAGGTTTTTAGGATAACAAAAACTTAAGTTTATTATACCCATTTTCGACGGCAAAATTTAAGATGTGGTATAACTCCAAATTCTTTTTATCCTAGTTAAATCACACAATTAGACATTTATCTGAAACATACCTATTTAACCCTAAGCTTAAGCCTATTTTGAGAGTCCGACCTCGAAAACTGCTGGGGGATTGTTATCCCCCTAACTCTGGCAAATAAAAGGTTTTGGAGGAAACAATTTACAACACGTTTCTTATCTATCTAATAGCTATCTATGGACAAAAAAATGAAAGAAATCGATTTTTCAACTCTAGTCACTCAATGCTCGAATATTTTCTGACCTTTGCTTTAAAGAACGTTCTGCGTCTCATCCCGCTTTCTTCCCTATGCACCTGATTTAACAGCAGGCACTCAGTTAAAACTTTAGCCAAAAAATCTCGTTTCTTTTCAAGAACTACAAGAAGAACTGTTCCCATTCAGTCGGATTTCTTCACTGACATTCTGTGGACCGACGTCCAAAGATTCAGGATTAGAGCTGCTAGCTTGAGAAACCACAGGCTGCAACAGGTTTCTATTCCGATATGCTTTAGTACTTCGCTTCCTAACTGAGTGAGGGTTCAGGGTAGAAAAGGTCGTTCTAAAACTTTCCCCGATGTTTCTAGCCTTGTTACCTGCTTTTCTGCACGGACACAGTAGAGCTGTAAACACCTTGCGAAAGTGCGGGAACTTTTGAGCGTATAGCACAGGGTTAACTGCAGAGTTACTATATTGGAGAAATTTAACAGCAAAGATGGCCTGCAGTGATGGCTGAAACTGTGATCTGATGTAACTAATTAAGGAGAGTGTAAAGAAGGGGAGCCATCCAATGACAAATAACACAATCATGACAATCACTGTCTTGGCTACCCGAACCTCTTTACGAAGACTTCTTTTATGCCTATAAGAATTCTGAATCTTGTTTTTACGAAGAGATATTATTACAAAGGCTTGCGTAGCGCAAATAATACACAGTGGAACAAAGAAAAAGAGTACAATAACAGTTATGTTGTACGCCTTCGGTGCTGATTTCATTCCTGGTTTGGAACAGATGGCGACTGGTATCGCTAAGGACCAAATCAACAACAAGACAAACAAGTATCGTTTAGTGCTGTAGATGCGATGTCTCAAAGGCCAAACGATGGCACAAAGTCTGTCCCAGCTTAAGGCGACAAGATGCAGTATTGAGCCAACACCACCCAAGATATCAAATATTACCCAGATGTCATGCAGAAATATATACCAATCAGTTCCATGCTGGCGACTCACAGTCAGTAGTACAACCCACCATGGAATTGAAATAATTCCAACAAAACAATCAGTGGCAGCCAATGAAACGATGAAGAAGTTCGTGTGAGTTCGAAGGACTCTCTTTGTTCCAAATGATATGATTACAAGGCCATTCCCAAGAAGAATTGCTAGAGCAACTACTGAATAGGCAATGACCCAAGGAAGAACAGGATTGTAACTCATCTCCCAGTTTGAGGCTTGACGCTCACTTTCAGTTTCTATAGCTGCTGAAGAGTTTTTTGTGTCTTTTAATGGAGACTCTGAAAAAGGACAAAAATTAACGGAGTGAAAAAAAATACCGATTAGGCTTTTCTTTTTATCTCGTTCAAATCACCACAAACATTATCAAACGCCCTAGTAAACGAAACAGAGAGTAATGTTCAAACACAAGCACTATACTAAGGAGAATAATGCTTAGGGAAGTACGGCCGGTGCAGGTAACCTCGCAAGACTTAAGTTATAAAATTAAAGCTTTCGTTAGTGATGCTTGAGTCTCGCCTAAAAGTAAAAAAAAAAACAGTACCAAAGGAGCAGTGAAAGTAAAATTATGAATCGCTATGAGAGTCTCATGATAAATAAGTGTGTATCATAAAGAAGATTCTCTTTCGTAGTAATGTAAGCCAATCTATGATGAAGATATCTATGACGTCATGACAGTATTAGTATGAGTGGGTGCAGGTAAAAGGATAGAACAAAGTAATATTATTTTCATTTACTATAAAATTTCCGTTTACTGTTCAACAAAGGAGTTCATGATCTGTCAATTAGTGAGTCCGCGCTATTAAGACTCTGTAGCCAAGCCTATTTCAAATAATCTTCACTCACAGGTCATTCAAATCAATCAATGAAATCTTTACTTACTAACACGGTAAAGAATTCATCAGTTCGGTACAATATAAAATACAACAACATAATAATTTCTAATAACAATTAATACGTATCTATAAAGTATGTTCAGTAATAATACTAACACTACTCATAATTGCACTAAACTAGACCTATTTTCCATGAATGCTGTGCATATAACATTAAGGTAGGTGAAATATGATCGTCCGGGTGAGTGTAGTCCTCAATAGGACTGTTGTTGACACTAGTCATCTTCAGAGACAAGGTAAGTTGAACACTCACTTTGACTCTATAGATGACCACCGTCAAACGTTCGTATTCAGAGTTACACTCATCCATACTCCACTCATATTATTACACTCATATTCCACCTACTTATGAAATGACACGTGGGTTCAAAGTATTCACCACTCCGAAACTCGTCTACCTGCGGAAAGATTTTTTATGTAAACGAGAAAAAGGTGTTTATCAAGGTGAAATTGTTTTCTTTAAGCATGCTTTAAAAACACAGCGAGTCCAAATAATAGCTTAAAAACGTCACTGTAAAATGTAAAAGTAGTAAGATTAAAAATGATAATCAAAATCAGGTTTTTTGAAATGAGATTTAAGGATACTTATTTCCCTTCTTTTCTGGACTTCCTTGGTGAATCATTAATGAAGTTTTCTAAAGAGAGCATCCTTAAGTGACACATGTATAACCATTTTTGATTATCAGACTTGAACAGACAAACGTCAGACCTTGTCTTTTCAAAGGCGTCACCTTAATATCAAAGGTCCATTTGTCCTGTTTAAAATTCACTATTATGGCCTCGCGGAGCGGAGATAAACTTGCAGAAATTTAGCCAATTTAGCGACCAATGAACTATTTCGTTGTTAGGGGAACGATATATTTGAATTTTTTGTTAACTGAACATGTTGAAACGAAACCTCATCTCTTAATAATAATATTCCTATGACAGTGCTAAGATTCATCCTATTCTTGACCTTAACTCACCATAAAATACTGAAGTAACTAAAGCAGTGATTTGGAGGGGATGACTCATGACGTATAATGACGTACATTTACTTTGTTCATTAAATGACTCTTATGAAGACAGCAAAGCATTGCTACTTGTTTGAAGGTGGAATATACTAATAGATGCAAATAGCACTAAACAATTTGCACGTTAGTCTACAAGGAGAAAAAATTACCATTGTGCGTGGATAAAGTGATCATGAAAAAAAGGCCTGAATTACTGTAATTAACTTAGACCAATTTTCAGCATTTCCAGAATAAAATCGGATATTTAAAAACTGCGGATCGACCAATTTTAACCAACTGCATGAGTAAATAAGACAGCGAGGATTGCGACTCAGGGCTATGTGTTCTTAGATTCTCAATTTTTGCTGCGTCAAATGAGGCTATCAAACTGCGTCTATAAAAGAAAAAGATTGATATGAGGATTTGATTTCACAAGTGACTTTCACCCAGGGAATAAAATAAGAAGTTGAAAATCAACTTTGAAATGATAGGTAGTGATGTAAAAGGAAAACCCAATGACCTAAAGCACGTATCGAAAAAGACTTCGACAAAAAGGACAAAATTGGAGATCATATTTTTCACACTGCAATCACAGTGAAATAAAAAAATGGTGATTTGATATATTTATATAATTATATTTATTTGAGCCAGGAGGTCGTCCTGAAGGGCCCTGAATAGCATGTCAGTGATGGCGTCTTCCAAACACAAGTGTTTACCGTGAGGAAAACTGAAAGAAAGCCGTGTTTTGACAAACAGGTGCAGGAAATGCCGATTTGCATTTTTATTACAAAAAAATTGGTGCCTGTCAATTCCACATACAACCGAACTTATCCATTATCACGTTTATTGAATAAATGTATTCATTCGGCTTAAAAGTGCACAAAGTTTCATTACAGGATCTGCTGTAAGTTGATGACACCAGATTAGCGAGCCTTTGAAGAATTAATGCAACTAGGCTGTAGTTTTGGCAAAGCATGTTAACCTCCTGTAGTTTGATTTCCTTTCATCACTGTTCAACAGCAGCTCAGAAGCTAATAACCAAATACGTTCTATTTTCTTGTCTATTGTTCTTATAGATTTTTTTTTCTGAATCTTCAAATTAAATGAATCAAGTGGATTACTTTTCAACTGTCAGTGGGAAGTATTTTGTTCAATAATTATGCCTTTTTAACTACGCCAGATCCTTCGCGACGGTTTTCTAATACGCGCGACTTTCCATCAGGAATCGTTGATTTTTACTTTCTGTATATGGCAAGATCTCCGCGTATAAATCAAGTAATATCTATGCGCATTGTAAGCTTCACAGAAATGTCTCCGTCACTGATGCCCGGCGAAAATCAGTCATTGGAAAAGGTCTAAAAGTAACAATTGAGTGCGCTAAACCGCCGGATTATGTTAGTCATTTAGGATACAAAATTTAAGGTTCTTAGACGTTCCAAGTTCAATTTGAGGGTCCTGGAGTACAAAAGTTTGTATTTGCAAAATATTATTTTACTTTTACTTAAAAAAAATTAAAAATTAAATAAAACAACAAGCGTGCTTACCTAATAGTGTTCCATTGGTCAGTTCCATAACAAAACTGTACCCTTGTTCTTCAATGATGTTGTAAACAGTTTACTATATTTTAACCTGTATTCAGATGATAAGTTTTTTTGGCCCTTTTACATGGGTGTCAGTTCCTTGTGTTATTCAAAATCAGAAATGAAATTACTTTATATACCGGACATACAGTGATCAGCTTGAGTGGAGACATGTTATAGTATTGGTTCACGTTTCTAGAAAGCTTATGTTTGTTGACGTTTATTTATACAGGTGGATCCAAACTGATATAAGCCCTGCACAAGAACTAAGAGCGGATCCAGACCGACTCGGCCAGGCAGGTTGTTTAACAATGTAATATATTATTGAGTTTCGTTCGACAACAATTCCACGACAAAACCTTGTTCGTATTGTCAGCATACAAAGTTAAACTTCTTTAAACTGTAAATGTTCGTTATTTCTTAAGCATAATAAATTGTTATACTTCAACAGCAACAAAATGACCATACGCTCCACGTTTACAGCAACAGCAATAACAATAATATAATGCGACTGAAGCATCTGTCAGCATAATTAGGCTATTTCTCGAGTTTTCTGAAACTTTCTCTTTGTGGACCGCGCACTTAAATCTCAGTTTTTCGGTATAGAGGCCTTATCTTCAATACGATTTTAATCACCTATATAATGTAAACTTGTCAGCCAAGAAAAAGTATACAAAAAACCTTGAGGCTCAGATTGAGAGCTTAAAGCATTATATTACATAGAAGTGGGTGCGCCTCCTTCATCGGATTGGTTAGGAAAGCTTAGGCTTTCACGTGCTTGCCATGAACCTTCCAAATGGCAAATACATTATTTAGCTTCTTTCTTTATCTTCACTTAAAAGCATTGGCAAAACGTTAAAAATGAGTCAAACTAAGAAGTTTGTATTCTCACGTAACTCATTTTTTTTTTTATAATCTGTAGCGAGAGAGGACTTTGTTGTGTTGTCGCCATCATCAAAGGACATGAAGTTCGGAGCGTTCCATTTACTTCACAGCCAAACATCACGTTTAAAACTTATAAAAGCTACTTTGATATAAAAACATGATTTTTATTTTTTTATTGAATTTCGTCGACTTTAACCGGAATGTAAAAGTTCTCTTGAACCGAAAAGCAAAAGTCAGTCCCTTCAGTTTTGTTTTCTGTTACTGGTTTTATTTTTGTTTTTAATTAAGCAAGTTTTGTTGGCTTTTTTATGTAAATGGCGCTGTCATAAGTAAAATTTTGAATAATAAGGTGAAACAGCGATAAGACATATTTTTCGATACTCTAGGAAGCTCCGTAATATCTTGTCTGTTATCTTGCAAAAAGGTAAAAAAAATTCCCACCAAAAACAATTTAAACAATATATTAACTAAAAGTATTTCTATCGAACACAAAAACTAAAATGTGCATCATGACACAATTTGAAACTTTCAAAAGCCATAAGATTGGAGTTCATTTTTAAAGAGATAAAATAGCCAAGAAATCTTGAGTTCAATGCCTAAAATATAGACGACAAAACACAAAACTTGCCAAGTACGTAAATTAACTCTTGGGGCGGGCAGATATGATGAAAACTGAAAAAAAGGTAGACAAGGAGAAAATTAGAAGCAAAGAAGGTAAAATGCTGTATTCGCACCTTGAGGGAGTAATTCAGGGTGCAAATATTCGTACCTGATTTGCTCCTAGTTTGTACTTTTTTTCATCCGAATTCCCGTCGAGCAAATTTGGTGTAAATCCAATTTTTTTGCAGTAGCGAAGAAACCTATAAAGTCTGATGAAAGTATGGAATCTTCTTTGAAACTAGCATCACTTTTTCTTTGCTTAATGTTTGGCTTCTGAAGCATGCAAATCACTTCTTCAATCGTACTTTTGTAGGCATTGTAAATAGCGATTGTACGCTTATCCTTTAGCTAAATGGAATTGAGCGACTGTATTAGGAGACCGGTTTGGTTTAAATGAACGTTGGACTCAGTATTACCTGCACGAGTTTACACGCAGCTGTCACAGAAGTATCCGAGTATGTATTTTACTGCCTGGCTGGTATGGATGCCATACAAACTATTCGCTAGCACCGAATTGCTTGCGTTATTAACTGAATTGACTCATGCATTGAATTGAGTTTATATATATGTAAATATCAGTCGATTAAGAATAACATACTAACCTAGGGAAAATCAAATCTCATCGTCCTTCGAAGAAGGAAACGAAGAAGCTTTGCCCGAATCAAATGGATTAGCGATGATTAAACCACCTCAGTCTATCGTGTATCCGCACAGAGCAATTATAGCTTACTCAAAATAATACGCAATTCACTGCAACGTCGCTACACAATTAACACAATGAACATAAACTTGCCTGTATTATCGGCTGATATGTAAAACTAAGAAGTACTAAATCAGGTCCACACCGCCAATTTAAACACGCTGAGCCGCCAACCAGGAAACAACACCCCTGTCTATCATTTGCTGTTCTTTACAGGGGGGTCTTAACTTAACTCAGACCAAAAGAACAACATGATAACGATTTTTAACAGTGACGGGGCAGCCATCCTGAGCAACGTCTGGTATCAACATTGATAATTATGGTGTCATGTACTAATCCACTAAATTATAAATTCAAATACGTACACATTAGATAAAAGTGGCCAACACGTAACCTTGTTATTGCATCATTAAACAACCTGTTTACCAAACAAATTACATGTTAAATAGGACTTAAAAGTGGGGCTGTAGTAAAAATCTGGCAATCGACCAACGATAACGACTGTGCACTGACTGTGGAGTAGCTTTCAGAAGTAGAAGTAAAATGGTTTATTGAATACCTTACTAGCAGTATGGACTGAATTGGTAAGTTTTATATTGTAAAGAAAAAGTTATGAAATATTATTACAAAACTAGTTGCATGCTAACTATATGAATCCTACCACTACGAAAATATAAAATCTTAGACTATGAAATGTTATAAAATAACTGCGCATTTGTTAATAAAGGTATCACGGCACCTATTGTTCTTGCATGGTTTTACACAGTATGATCTAGAGTTCCTGAGGTACTTAGAGGGTCCCTCGTTGAATGGTATGAGAGGTTGCAAAACATCAATTGGATTTTCTACAATTTTGTACAAAGTTTTTTACACAGCTAGCGCTGTCCTTCTTTGCCCTGACGTAACAAGGCCTGAACGTGACAGGGCATCTGAGTAGTGCACTTCGCAAGGAAAAAGTTATCGATATCCTCAGAGCACGTTTCTGTATCCGTTCAAAACTGTAGACTTAGATATTGTGGAAGACGAAAATAGAAACCTGGCAGCCATGGAGTAAAACAGACTGGATGCCAGCTACATCGATCTGAAACAGTTCAACCGGGGATACTTTTCAAGGCTTTAGTTGCACTAAAAAATACAAGCATTTGGCAGCTTTTTTGTCATTTTTGTTACCTAAGGATTCCACTTAAGGTCTTCTTGAATATAATCCGTCCCCCTTTCTTCCCAGAAACGCCTGATACTCAGGCTATAAATATAAAAGCCTAATAACTTACCTACCAGTACTGTTTTGATCTTACAACCATCGATTTCTACAAGTTTATGATTTGTCGGAGAACGTGGAAAGGTTATCCTTAGTTCACGGCATTTACAGAGGGTGGAGTTGGACCTAGTTGTTACTAGACCATGCAGACACCTCATCGAGGATGGACTGCGCATGACAAGTCCCTTTTTTCTCCACCATTTCATAGACTATTTTATCGGCTAAGTATTGGAAAAGACCGCTCGAGGTGTCGCACCGAGATCGTTTAGCATAACGAGAAACAGCCAGGGGCCTAGTTTGGTTCCCTGTGGAACACCTAGACGAACCGGCGCTATTCGGAGAAACAGTCGTTTCCTAGTTTTTGACTCTTTGCTGTCTGTTGAAGACAAAGGCAGCAACCCAATTTATGATTTAAGGATTAATATCATATTGCAAAAGCTTGGCCATCAACAGACTATGATCTATCAAGTCGAACGCGTTTCTGTAATCTAGAACAAACTGAACTGAACCACTGTTACCACAACTTGGGGATGGAGATATATTTTTTGTAACCAGTATATATTCACGTCCTTCTAATTCCTCCCTTATGGATATATCTTAACTTACTAAATGACAGTGAATGGGTTGAATGCAGTAATCATTTCATAAGTCGATGGAATATCATATGGAATATTACTCAATTATATATTTCTTTCTCTACAAACAACGATATGGAATTAACCAACAGTATCACTAAGATTGAGGAATGCCTGTCCGACATCGATAAGTGAATGTCCATCAACAGACTAAAACTAAACAAAGACAAGACCGAGCTTCTCTACTTATTCTCAAAGTATAATCCACAACAACGTCTACCCCCACTTCGCTTTGGAACTGACATAATCAAGCCCTCTTCATATGCAAGAAATATTGGCGCTATCTTCAATACCACTATGCCAATGCCTCCCCATGTCAACAATGTTTGTAAATCTGCCTTTTATCATCTTCGCATCATTTCCCGCATAAAGAAATACTTATCAACGAGATTCTTATTCACGCCTTTGTAACTTCCAAACTCGATCAATACAAATCTCTAATATATAATGTCCCTAAAAACGTCATCAAAAAGCTTCAATCGGTGCATAATGCAGCTGTCAGACTGATTACACGCTCTAGGAAGTGTGATAACATTACTCCAATCCTCTTTGATCTTTACTGGCTACCTGTTTCTGAACGACTTAAATTCAAGATTCTACTACTTACCTTCAAGGCTACGTCAGCAATCTCCAACCTACATTCAAGACCTAATCACCCGCTACTTACCGCCTAGATCACTTCGATCACCTTCTACGCTCAGTCTGAATCCTGTTAGCTTTAACCTTAATAATAATAATAATATTTAATACTTATATTGCGCTTTTTCTATAAAAATACTCAAAAGCGCATTACAATATTATTAATAACTAAATTAAAAACCAGTAAAATTACACGGTAAAATTACAATATTTAAAAATGAATAAATAAATAAATAATCTAACTAAAAGCCTTCTTAAATAAATATGTTTTAACAGAGCGTTTAAAAGAGTCGATTGATGTTTCCTGTCTTATTGGCAGAGGAAGACTGTTCCATAAAAAGGGGGCAGCCATCGATAACGCGCGATCTCCCAAAGTCTTCTTCGTTCTTAGCCGAGGTCTTTCTAACAATATACCATTATTGTTACGGCGTAGTTGGTAACGTGAGTCCGGTAAGACAGAGACAAGATCCTTAAGATAGCTAGGCGCAACACCGTGAAGAATCTTAAATGTAACAAGGAGAATCTTAAAATCTACGCGCAAGCGCACTGGTAGCCAGTGGAGTTCTCTTAGCAAAGGAGTAACGTGACAATACTTAGGTGCGCAGTAAATCAATCGAGCACTGGCATTCATGACTCTTTGAAGTTTCTTAATTTGACACTCAGGAGCACCGTACAATAAACCATTACAGTAGTCAAGCCTGCTTGTGATGAACGCGTGAACAAGCCTCTCGGTGGACTCACGAGACAAATACTTCCTAATGTGCCGGATATTGTACAAATAATAAAACGCGCTAGCACAAGTCTTAGACACATGAGTCGACATGTCCAGATGAGAATCGAACCAGGTGCCCAAATTGCGCACTGAAGAGGCAGGCGATACCTCAGCTTGGCCGATCGTGATCTTGTCAACGGACACCTTTGATAACTGTCGTTCCGTGCCAATGATCAAGAACTCAGTTTTGTCGTCATTTAGCATTAACTTATCATCTCTCATCCATGCGCGAACATCACGAATACAGTTCTCAATCGCAATCACAGCATCAGCCTCGCTGGTCTTATCAACGGGATTAAACGATATATATAGGATTTAGAGCATTCTCTGTCTCAGCCCCCGAACTTTGCAACAAACTACCCAACGACATACACTCTTGCGAGAATCTGAGTCTTTTTAAGCATAAACTCAAAACCTACCTTTTTAAGAACTATTATTTTAGTCATTAGGAAGATTTCTTCTTCTTCTTCTTCTTCTTCTTCTTCTTCTTCAACCTGACAATCTGTGCGGTGGTCATCTTCAGAGTCAAAGTGAGTTGTATGTTGATTTATTGATTAATAGATTTAATGCCTTTTTACATACAAATAAAAGGAAATAATTATAAAATTACATTACACGACATTCACACGAAACTAAAAGGAAACACAACGGCGAGGAAGTCTCAACAAGACATGAAGGCTTATGGGTGAGACTTCCTCTTTAAATTAGATTTGTCTTTATTAATTAAATATACTTATATAAACAAAGAACAGCATACAATGGAGAAAATTACAAGTGAATAGAGAATATGAAGAAAAAGTTGATTGTCTAACAACTAGTAGTTACCAATGATTTATTGAGTATTCTGTAAATTTTTTGTTTGATCAAATTATTGCGTGAGGTAAAGAGTTGATGGTATTAAACGCAGGTTATTGACCTGATTGGTCAAAGGGGTCGCCATGTTATTGGTGGTCTGTCAGTTAAAACTCCATGTTATCCCAGGCTATGAATCAAAGCTCTAAATGTGACTCATTCGCTGAGACTTCATCAACAAACACTCTAACAGTAGCCCACGTTCGATATATTAAAATTCTAACATGATTCAGAGGCTTTAGGGTCAAAATTGCAAATTTTTTACCACTCCATTCAGCATTGTCTTGCAATTCCCAGAAGAGTTTTGAGCACAAAGAATACCAAACCAAAAAGGAAAAATGACCATAAAGCCTCGGAGAATTTTAATATATCGAACGTCGGCTATTAATTCTTAACTCAGAGACGACCAGTAACCATGGTAACATTGTGACGTAATTGACCTATAAGGTCACGTCAGTACCAGTAGCCACGGGTAACCACTAATCCACAACAGTCAAGGTACAACTAATAATACCACAACCAGCTAAAAACCGCACGAAGACCAACAGAACACCTTTGAAGTCTCCCAATGAATAGTAATGTGATTTTCAAGAGACAAACGACAAAATGGCTTATACCTGTTTCTTTTTGTTTAATTCGACAAGGCGACAATACAACTTCATACAACTGTGAAAAGATCAATTCCTAAAAAATATGAACATAAATTTCAGATCATACAGTCACACCTCTTCGAAAGAAGACACTAAGTATTGTATTTATGGTCATCACTGAAGAGGCTCGACTGTCAACAAACTAAACTACACTTTAAAGTGGATTTTGCTTCTCTTCACAGAGCAGGAATTCCAGCTGTTACTCCACTTTCGATACCGCACTCATTTGTGCCTCGGCGAATGTAGAAAAATCCTGGTAATTAAAAATAAATACATAGTTTAAGTGTAGATATAATTAACTTACAATCAAAACCGGTGGTATTTCAGTATTTGAGTGCTACGCTACCAACGCAGAGAAAATAAACACTCACCATCCATTCCCCACTTGGGTCCCCAAGAATTGGCACAAATCTAAAAACAAGGCATATTTTATTATGCTTAGGCAAAATACAGTCGAACCTCCACTAACGGCCACCTCTCTACGACGGCATTTTTTTGGCGGACAGTCCATACATTGACTCTTGTTTCAACCTCTTTTAAAATCGCCACTTTCTTCTGTGGTGGGTGGTGGCCGTTGTAGAGAGGTTCAACTGTATCCTTGATGAGATCCCTTCTGTTTTTCGTTTTAATGAATCACATCTCAAAAATTGTCAAGTTTTACGCATGTTTTGTCGTCAAAACGACACCTAGCCTTCATCGAAGTTGTTCAAAGGCATAGTAACTGGTGAAGTGGAAAGCAATGTGCATCGTCTAAAAAACGACACAGCTGGACGATGTGCGACAACACACACAAAGTATTAATTCCTTCTTCCTAACCCTTAAACCCTAACTCTACCTTACGGCCTACCTTATCAGTCGACACACCTTCCATAATATATAATTAACACTACGACAAAAAACCAAAACAAAACAAAAAATCATACCCAATAATCAACGCCTTCTGAGGACCGACCCCATCTAAAAAAACAGATTGAAACGATTTCAAAAGTTAATTCATTGCATTACTGATAGCTTAGTAATAGTTACAATCACGAGACGGTTGAAGCTCTCGATCGGGTCTCCTCGCTTGTATTCCGTTTTATTATATGGAGGAGAGTGTTTTCCTGGGAACTAAACCACTCGTAGATTCCATACGCCACTTCATCCGGGACCCGAGTGGCGTATTTTCCGTATGTCACCTTTGTGAGTGTCGTATCGTTCAATGACGTCTCGATTCCCGCCTTTTGCTTTTGTTGAAATGGTTTCTCCATATAATAAAAAGAACATTACACGTTGGCTCGAAGATATGAATTTTATGTTCTCGTGGCAAAAACAATATCTCACTCGTTCGCTTCGCTCACTCGTGAGATATTGTTCTTGCCACTCGAACATAAAATTCATATCTTCTCGCCACCGTGTAATATCCTCTATATATCCACAGCCGGCTATCAAAAACAAACAGTCAATTTAAAGCTCAGCGTTTAGTAACCAGTCGGCTTGACCGATATGAAGCGCCAATGGATAGGATTGTAGTCTTGTGCACTGCTACCTGCGTTACTGAATAGGGCCATTTCTACTGGAGACATAGAACAAAAGACGCGTCTTAAATGAGACAAAAACTGTACCATCAGGTTATACAAGCATATAATATGCGCCTTATCTTGGACGCAAACATATTTTTTTGTGTGTCATTTAGTCAAGACGTTGCGTTTTATTTGCGACGCGTTTTCTGGAAGACGGCTGTTATTTTTGCTCTTTTTGATGGTAATACAAACTTTCACGTCTAAGAAAACAGCTCAACGCCAGATCCCAGGGCTCAGCTACGAGTTGACCATCAAATCTGTCTTAAGACTATAATCATTTGATTATTTAAGCCGTTAACTAGTTGTTTAATTTGCTCAGACTGATGAGTCAGTCAGCGTAGGTAGAATTTTACACACACACACAAAAATAGAATTTCTTCTTGAAATGATAGTTTGCCCGCATCCCGCATCTTATTCTAGTAGTTAAACTGTGATATAGAAAAATAGAATCCTCTTAACATAAAGATAGAGATTAATAATCATATCAATAATCTAGCAATAAGTGAACCGACGAACCCGAGCATCTTGATGGCATGTCCTCCAACTTGCTGCCCACTGGTATGAATATAAACACCGCTGCGATACGAAAAGAAGTCCTGGTACACCGTGAAATCAGCTGAAAAAAAGATAGGGTTCCATAATCATACTTGAAAGGTTTGAGAATTGTTAAACTAAAAAGCTGCTTTACTCAAAGGTATGGTTCCTGGGAAGCGACGAAAGTGTTGAGAGGCGAATCACTGGCTGTATACCCGGCCAAGGTAGCAACAATAACACTTAGCGCGAACCTTTAAAAGTGTCTCCTAAAGGATCTTGAGTAAATAAGGCTCAGCTGATTTATGCGGCCCATTTCCCAACGGCGGAACAGTACTTGTTTATCGTCGTGGACTACTCAAAGTAACCGGAAGTAGAAATAATCGACAGCTCAGTTGAAAAAGAACTCCTCTCTGCTATGGAAAGAACTTTTTGAACTGAAGGTCTAACAGGAACTTTGAAATCCCACAAGGGTACTCCGTTCAAGGGAAAGCGCCTTTCTCATTTGCAGAGGAAACAGGTTACACACGGGAAGATAACACCACAGTGACCGGAGGCCGCATATGGCCCAACAGAAGTTTTCCACCCCGAAGGAAGAGGCTGGTAGGAGACAGGTGCTATCAGCTTCTTTGGGGGGCAGCTAACAAGCTACACCTCATCCCTACACCGAGAAAAGAAAAGTGAGCAGCGCTGCATGGGTATCCGGCGCAGAAGTTAATAGGGACTTTAAGCAACGACTACGGAAGGGTCTAGCACGGTGACCGGAAGTATTTTTCCCGCCACGCGTCAATGTCTTAAGTTCAAGGTACCACGGCTGCTATAGCGGTGAAAACGTCGCTTTTCAATAAAAAGTAAATTCGCATTGTTTCATTCTTTTTCGCGATTATTACAAGTCGCTTATTTTGCCAAATGTAGGCAAACTCGTTGGGGAAAAAAGTTCGTTTTCGTTTGTTTACGTCCTCAATAAAACGTGAAGTTAGGCATTTGCACGCCGTGGTCGTGCAGTGATGGCAAAGAAATGTTGATAAAACAATAAGATGCAAGTGCAAGTTGTTGATTTGCTAATTAAAAAACTTATTGACTGGCCGTACTACGCTTCCCGAATACGTAGAAGATCATGGCGGGCCAAAGTGTCTTGTACGTTAAGTACTTAGTTGCATTTTAGGTGCTTAGAACGCCAGTGTATCTTTGAAACAGAATCGCAAGATATACGCACGCATGACACCCAAGTGAAAAGTACAACCAAAGACGCAAAATACAGTTGACGGGAAAGAGGATTTCATAAGGGATATCGCCCTTTATTATGAATGTTTTTTTTTAATATTTCCTTGCCGTTGGGGGGTCACAGCACGGCTTCAACCTCAGAAAGCGAGTTAAAATAATCGCGATAAAGAATAAAAGAACGCGAATACACTTTTAAGCGACCTTTTCACCGCTATGGCCGTCGAGGTATCTAAAACTCCCTGACTTGAGACATTGACCGGTGGCGAAAAAAAAATTACTTCCGGTCACCGTACTAGTACCTTCCGTAATCTTTGCTTAAAGTCCCTAATGTTCCAATCCCGGCAAGCCTGAACTTTTCAGGCTTTCTTTGACTGAGATAACCTTCTCTGCATTTATTAGCATTAATGTGTAGTACCTTCAACCGGTCCGTTGGTCATAATTTCTGTCTGAATTGCTTCAACCTAAGTAAAAGAAGAGAGTTGTGCTGAAG